CCCCATACTTTTAGCCTAAATAGGTGCAAAAAGTATAGTTAGGTGGGAAGTCTAGTTGCTGGCAAGGGACTGATGAATAGGTGGCTGGAAGCAGCGCACGTGTTCCACAGGCGTGCTCTCTCCATCGCCAGACTTCAAATACTTGTCCAAAATAGCAATTATTTCATCATTCAGAATCTGGAACTTGCGAATTCTCTCAACCATTTTCTTCAAAGGCTGCAAACAACAAGAAACCAGACACACGGGAATTAGCTTTGGAGATAAAAAGCCTTGGACACAAAAGCAGCAAATGCCGTTACCTCACCTCTCCCAGCAATGTTGCCAATGTTTCCCTTCCACTGCTAATCCAGTGAAAATCCAAGGTGCGTGTTGGTTTTTGACAGTGCTGCTTTTTGTACAAAAAAGGGCAATTTACAGCAGCCTTGTCATAATCTGAATGCACGTATATGAGATGGAAAGCATTAAGAAAGTCCCACATATTCAGGGAATCAGAGTTCTCACTGATCAGTCTTCAAGCTGCAGTACTAATGCCTTAATCTTTTGTTCCTAAAAACCCTGGTGCCCTCATTTTCAGCCTTTCATTCTAAAAAGCGATTGCTACATCTACGCTGCATCCAAGTACAAACAGCTCTGATTTATTGTTGCCTTTATTACTACAGCAAATACAGAACAGATGTTTGCAAACTCACCACATTCTTTATAACCTCGTCTTTGCCATCGTGCTTTTGGACTTTCAGCAGGTGGTAGCAGAAATCCAACACGTCAAAGCGACGCTGCTGTCCCAAAAGCACAATGATCATACAGCCAGCCCAGTGCAAGCCATCTCCAAAGCACTGCCTGAAACAAGAAACACACCACATAAAGCACGTTTCACCTACATCTGCAGAAACATATCCACAGGAAGCGCTCACTAATCGGCCATTACACTAAACTACATATATATGGCTCTGAATATTAGGCATTAATCTGGAAAATACTGCAAAATCTCTAGTAAGTTAAGTTCTCTTCCAGATACCACAAGCGATGCAAATGGATGCTTAACAAAAAAACAGGAGACCCCCCTCCCTGCAATTTTACACACCATAGAGTTACTCAAAAAACATTTATTCCCCGTTAGACTCCAGCAGCACTACATTTCAGTTTCAAAGGAAACACCACTTTCAAAGAAAATGGGAATTCAGTGTCACTCCGCTCCTTTGGGCTGCAGGCAAGAAAGGAAGCAAGCGTCCTATGCTGTTGCCTCCATAATTGCTCAGTGAAAAGCACGTTACAGCTCAACAGTTTTTCAAAATAAGGATATTATCAAAATTAACAAAACCAAGAATTACAGTTCCTGGTTAACTCATGTTAATCATGTTAACTGCCACGTGCCCATTCTTGCTCTTAATTCAGAGAAGAGAATACTTGTTAGAAATACATGCACCAACGTTCAGCTGTTTTATTTCAGTTCAGCGTCTGTAGGGGTCTGACTACTATTGAAAGACGCGTGCTAGGGCCTGTTTGTCATGGGATCATTCGTTATACAGTGGCAATACTTAAAGTAGAGGGTTATTTTTGTTAAAAGATACAATAGTATCTGTGTTCACGGATTACGAGCCCCTGCCAGGGATCGCCGCGCTTTCCCTTGTTTTCGCACTAAGCCCTTGCAGATGGGCAAACAAACGCCTCCATTCTAGGCCCCCCAGCCAGTTACAGGGAGGACAAGCGCAGCGCTGTTGCCCGCAGGTGGGCTGCCGGCAGCTGGCAGTACGTACTCCACCGTGAACTCGTGCGTTCCCACGGGGATGCAGTAGACGAACTGCATCGCGCTCCAGAGGCGATGGAATTCCACGCACTCGTCCACGTGCATCACCCCATTGCTGGGCAGGGGCCCGCGCCAGATGGGATCGTCCAGGAAGGAGCGGATCCTCGTCAGGATAACCTCAAACATGGACAGGCCGCAGCAGAGGCGTTCTTTGGTCAGCAAGTCCCCTTCCCTTGCGATTGCTATTTGCTACGGTGGAGAGAAAGAAAGTGCAAAATCCTGGTCAAAGCCACTCGACCACGAGACTATTTTAAAACAAAAATGCAGCACCACGTTTCTCAGTTTCACTTTATTCTAGGAGATATTTCTCCTGACTTTACGTGAGGTCAGAGGCCACTAACCTGGGGTTCAGTTCAGTGGAGAAAACACTCAAGAGAAAATTGTAAAAGCCTTTTTAAGCCGACAGGCTTGAAAGTAAGTAATGCCAGCTGCAGTTACGCTAATCCTGGACTAGTCCCAGGAAAGTTTAAAGAATTCTTTGCCTGAATGGAGGCGGAAAGCAAAACCAAAAAGAGCAGTGCCCTGCTGCTAGTATGGGCAGTAGCTCCTGCCTGTGCTCTTCTGCATATCTCCCTCAGCTGCTGCTGTTAGAGATGGAAAAGCTCCAAAGACGGCACAAACAGGCTCAGACAAAAACCATAAATGGCAACGCCGGTTAGGGCTTGTCCCAGCTTGTGCCATCACATTGAGAGCTCTTTCCTACAGTGCAACAGCACCTACCGAGCTGCAGCACATGTGATGATAAAAGCAGTCTGAAGTCTGCTTCAGAGAGCTCCGCTCTTAGTTTCTACTATTCACATCTCAATCACTTGGAAACTGCTAAGGTTAGCAGGGAATTAACGTACCACTCTCACCGAGAGAAAGGAAAATAGTGCTGAAGCTGCAAAGGCAGTTCAAGAACGTTCTCTTTGGTCAGTGTGCTCCCAGGAAAGCTCAACTCAGCTCATTTTCCACGAGTTTCTAATCAGCTGGCTGAGAGAGGAATAAATTGTTGAAAAATATATATATACGTGCACAAGAAAACGGATTGCTTTTGGTGGAATTTGCAGTAGGACCTCCCTGGCTGGCCTGGGATACTGAGAGGGTATTACATAGCAACATAGATACAAATTAGCATTTTCCCCAAAATGTGTCTGTTCCACCCCAGTCTCAAATGTTTTAAACTCCTGAGCTTTAACAGCTTTACCAACTCCATGAATCTGAAAAAATAATCGTTGTGTGAACAAGTTGGATGTGCAGGTTGAAGTCCTGACACGGGTATCAGCACATGTGAAAGGACAGGCTTTCTAGTGCTCAGAAATTTCTGGAATTGCCTCCAACACAAATGAGAGAGATTACCTGGGGTGTTCCTAGCCTTTCAATGAGAGGAACCAAATGTAGTGGAGCGTATTTCGATTCTAATCTCTTCATTTTAGCATCGAGCCTTTCACCCTCTGAAACAAAAAAAAAAAAAAAAAAAGAGAGCACTGATTCATGTCATTGGTAGCTGACTTAATTTTATAAATTGAAATTAAGCAAGAAAATTCTTATTTTTACACAATATTCAGGGAAGTAGAAAACTGGGTAGCTTAATTTATTAGTCTGAATAGTTGGTTAATCTTCAATGTGCTTTTAGAAAAATATAGTTTTATATTTTAAAATGTTGCATTGTATGTGCAAACAAAAAGAAACCAAGGATTTGTAGTAGACTACATTTAATTAACTAAATTGCAGACCAAACATAAGGCTCTATTATGCTGCTGGTGCTAATATATTTGACTCCCACTTGTACTAAGCCAACTAAATTGTCCTTATCATAGATAAAATGCTTGACTCTAGAAGGTGGGATATAATGAGGGTGGAATTCTGTGTGTAACAAGGCTTATAAAAGCATTTGGCACCCCCTCATCACTGGGAAGTAGGAAACGTTCTCTGGCAAATGGGAAAATACTGTTTACAACGGTCTGGTTAGTTTTATGCAGGATGCAAGTGGCTACAGTGAGTCTGGAAATATTCTCCAAGATTTGTAGCTGACGGGATTTCTCCAAGCAGAACAAATCAGCTGCTCTGTCAGTGAGGAACAGAAAGGAAAGGAGACAGAGGAGCAGCACAGAAAGAAGCTTGAGGGGGGGAAAGCTCACTTTCTGATGATGAAGGATGAGGAAAGCACATACCAGAGGAAGCAATCCTGCAAACATTCACCAGCGCATGCCCAGTTTAGTAAAAAGGCATGTGAAAAGTTTGCTGGGACCAGGGACCACTTGTATTTACTTACTCTGCTGACAGACTTCCTATACCCTGTATGATCAAGCCCACCCCATTTAATTGACAATCACATAAGAGAAACAGCACCTTCGGAAAAGCCCCTCACTGTATCCACATAGAGGGGTAATACTGCCCTGGGTATCCGTCCCACTTTTCCCTGTCACAGCATTCCTCTTCTTCCTCTTGTAATTTGCACCAAGCCTTGCTAAGCAGCACGTGTTTTTCAGCCAGGCAAACAGGCCTGAATCTGTTACCTCTGTCCTGTAATTAACAGTGGTGTTGTAAAGGATGGCTGGGGACGGTCACCGAAACCACAGCAGCAGGCAAGACAAGTGGAAAGCATTACCCAAGGAAGGTGTTTTCACTTAGCCAATACCTTTGACGTGAACTCTGGGCAGGATATTTTGGAATGGTGCCGCGTGCAACAGGTCACACACTTCCTCCAGGGACTGGAACGAAAAGGAAACGAGAGACATTTAGGACCAGCGCATCCCCAAACCACACCAGATCCCCAAAACAGGCTTCCAAAAGCACGCCGACACCGTCGCAGAAACACCAGAGGGCAGCCAGCCTCCGCCACCAGCGCACGGAGCCGCTCCGAGCCCTCGCTCTCCTCAGGGGATCGCTCCCAAAGACGATTTGATTTCACCAGGTTACCTTGGATTCCCCAAATAAACCCCAGCAGCTCTCCTCCCACCCTCATCTGGCAGTTTGTAAAGGACAGGGTATTTATTAAAAAGACTAATGCAGAATGAATAATTTTGGTGTGAAAGCGGCAGACGGCTCCTGCACAGACAAACGGAGCGGTGAAGGAGATGACTCACTGATCGGTTATTTTTACCAACGCTATTCCCACCACCTGTTATCTATGGTGGCAGGCACATCTCCCCTCCAGAACGGCCAAGACACATGACAGCAGCGGTGAATGACCTCTCAGGAAGTATTTTATATCTTCAGGGACAGGGGAAAGGAAGGCAGATGTCTCCTGGTTCTTGGCTGCTGTATGTGTGTGCGGAGAAAATGCAGAGATGACCAGAAGCAGATGCATGACTTTGCTAAGCCCCTCTCCTCATTTTTGGAGCAGAAGCCCGGCTCATTCGCAGTCCCCCAGCGCTAGTATTAACAGATACGTTCATCAGCCATACCCTCGGCAAGGCCAAGGTGCTGGTGCTCATGTGCCTCTCCCAGGTCTAATTCCTTGATGTCAATGCCATGAAAACTCATGTGCTAGGCACTCAAGATGAACAAGACCCACCCAGTAGCAGAAATGCACTACAGGCCTACATTTTGCACCAGGGTAAAGTCTCGTTTAGTTATGACAAATGACCATAATGGAAAAATACTGAAATACGTGACAGGACATTGGGGCACCGCTGAGGGCAAAAACAAGAGGAGGGGCAGCGAGCAGGGGTGTATTACTAGAAAGCATCACCAAGGTGGCATCCCAGAGGAGGTGCCTCCAGCGCTGGTGTCACTTTGGTACACCCTCAAGCAGTGAGGGCCCTCGCCTGCCTCGCCTTTCACCACGTACCCTGTTAGCCTGAATCCAAAGCAGTCCAGTTTCTCATTTTGTTTTGGCTGTCCCATTACTGAATACGGGTTTGCTGCTTGTCACCTGGCCTTCCAATTAATCTCCACCACATGGGAGGGATCCTCTAACACCATGAACAGTACTCTGAGGAACAGCATGTCTTTGTTACCTTATCTAACGTCAACAGCCTTAATACGCCCTAGAGAAGGAGTCTTACGGGAGGATTTATTTCTGTGCAACGGCAGGCTCCCAGCCAGCTTGCTGAGGAAGGGGATGTAGCTGGTTCGGAATCAGCAAAGATCTCTACATGATGGGCAGCCCAGCCTCAGCAGCAGCATGTGCTTGCACAGCGTGGGCAGAGCACCCTGTAGGCACAGGCAGGGGAGAGACTCCCCACCCAAGTCTCGAAGGCACAATGGAGGTAAAGAAAGGGAAGACAGCAAAGCTGTTGCTTTTCTGGCCCATAGGCAATGCTTCCCTCTGTAAGTACTCAAAAGCATGAAGACAAAGAAATTACATGTCTAGCTATTTTGTTTGAACACCAGATTGTATAACGTGAAAGAAGAGTGGGAAAAGAAAAGGAGAGGTAAGGATAAAGAGCAACTGTAGCACCATGCCCTCGGCAGTGGGCAGCTTTGCATGCTGAAAGGTAGAGGCCAGGCATATAGGAAGCAGCTGAAAGACTGGGCATGTTTCACAGCTTCGTTCAAACAAGGACACGTGAATGTCTGGCAGAGCGGGCACCACTGTCAGCCGTCCTAGCAGCAAGAAGGATGTCCAAGAAGTCCATGTTAACTTTGCAATGTTTCAGACAACAACAGGAATGACAAACACGGAAGGAAAATAACAGTACCAGATGCACAACTCATTGACATAAAGCGAGTAGCCACCCTGTGACCGACCGCAGGAATACTATATTTGATCATAATTTATGATGAAGGTCATAATATTTGATCCTCAGGTACCATACACGAGGCACCGTCTCTCACCCAGCAAAGCCACGCATCCCTGCTATCTCACAGACACGAAAGCCCCTGCAAGACTGCAGATCAGAGCAAGGAACTGTTTCTAACCATCTGCCCATCAGCAACAGCAAACTTGCAGATTTCAGCCTTGTTATTTATGACGTTAGTAACACAATTTGAGAGTACATTTTGAGAGACAGATGGGTTTTCAACTAGCACAGCAGGCACCTACCAGACTCTGTTCAATGAGGAGGCAAAACAGGACGGCATTTCCCACTTCCCGCAAATTCTGGAAGCAGACAGTCTTCAGTTCTGCATATTCAACGATGTCCTTCAACTGATGGTGAAAAAACTCCAAGATACCTGAAATCAAAAGTGAAGCAAAAAAATTAAGTCTCAGGAGCCAGAACAAAATCTAGTGATGATCACACAGGCACTCCTGTTACCTTGGGAAAGCAGACAAAAGATTCTGCTCTTGTGGATAAGAGTCACACGGATCAGGACTAGTTTTTCCTTCTGCCTCAAAAGCACTCCAATTTTCTAACCAATTTGTCTATTCAAGCTTGCACTGAACATGCATAAATATACTGTCTCGGAGCACAACTAACCAAGGGTGCAGGTTTATAGTTGTCTCTCTGTGTATCAACACCTGAGATTTTTTATCTCCAGATGTGCAGCCTAGAGGAAACTGAAAGGAGCAGCATTTAAATACATTAATAATCAGAGGTTATGAAGCGTGAAGCCAGTGGTGTGCTGACCTTTTTAACTGGATAAATCATGCAAAATGGAGTGCCTAGCTTCTCACTCCTAGAAAAGGGAGCCAATGTAAGAGGTAAGAAAATAATTTCCAGGGGCAGGAAGAGAGAGTAGAGCTCTCATCTGCTCTTAGTCCTGTTCCGGCCTCTGTCCCCAACCTGCTGCACCACCCGACAGGTTCAATTCACAGCTGTTATTTTCAAGGGTGACAGAGCCAGCAAGGAGCAGAGCACTAAAGATACATGGAACAGGGGTGGTGTCAGGCTACAACTCTGACAGCGCCACAGCCAGCCAGAGGTGGTCTGCAACCTCACAAAACAATCAAACACAGAAATCACAAGTCAAGCTCTGCTGGCAAGGGTACATCAGATCCTGCTGACAAGCAGAGTCAGAACATTGTTTCTGTCAAAGTTTTGCCAAAAGCTGTTAAAAAACAGCTAAATTGTGATTTTAAAAACCACGTAATTTACATAAACATATGTCTTTTCCACCAAACAACGGTGACTCTTAATGCATTGGTGGATTTCCAGCTCCTTCCCCCCAGCTCCAGAAAGGTTGCGCAGTCCCTTGGTTAGGGACAAGCCCAGGAGGCCCCGGGCTTGGCAGCTTCTGCAGGGACCTGATCTGGCCTAGCACTGCGGAGGTTAAAGCAGTGTGCAGGATGAGCGAGGAAAAGCAGAGAACTGCAGTAGGTCAGACAGCTCTCTGCCTTTTTACAAGTTAATTTTTATCAGCATTTTTCCATCTGTCTGCACAAGCCTGGCCCTTTTAAAAAGCCACCAAAAATCTCGACTGATGACAGAAGAAAATACATCGTGCAAAGCTTTCAAATTGCGAGCTACATATGGCAGTTCATTTCCATTACACTGAATTAAGTCACACAGTTGAAACTCCACCCAATCACATCTAATGCAACTGAGAGGAGACAAGGCAAGAGAGCACAGATGCCCACCACCACCTTCCCATGTGTTCCTTGGGTGCAGCTGATGAACTCTTCCAATGCAGGAGATTAGACTTCGGAATTTACCCAGCAAGGCAACGGCTGAGAGGGGAGTGCGCAAACATAAAATACAGCCTGGAGTGTATCTATGCCAAGGAAATCCCTCAAATTCAGCAGGGGAACTTTAAAACGTACAGTGAAGGAAGGATCGTACAGCTAACCCACACACTTCTACAGAAAGCCTCATGTCATTAAAATTAGCAACACAAAACATCAATAAAGTGCATGGCGAGGGGATGCAGGGCTGGCTCTGTTACATCTCAAAGAACTATTTGTCAACAGAGAATCTGCAGCAAGTGAGTGTTCCCACACACATTCAGTGGAGAGAAATTTCAGACCTAACAAGTAGTCTGGTGACTCAATAGAAAAGCAGAACTGAAAAAGTAATGGAGATAAGTCAGATGTAACAAGTGCTTGCTGAGCTTGATTTATTCAAAGCAGGGACACTTAAATCTAGCTAAAAAGCAAGGAAGTTGTGCCAGCGCATCACTAACTCCCCGCTTCCCATAACACGGGGACCATGTAATGAAAAAGCTCTGCAAAAGACTTGGTGTACATTCAATGCTGAGGTATTGCCAGTTGCAATTCCCAGGTGTTTGAGCAGCAGTGAGCACTTCGTGTTTGTTGTTTAAACACACCTGCCCACCATGGCAATGAGCTGCTGCAGTGCTGAACAGTGGGACTCCTATTTTAAAGATGAGGTTGAAAAGGCAGATTGATATGGCAGAAACTTTTTCACAAAAAATATTTGATGCTAGGAAAAAATGCAGAGTGAGGGCACTGAAGCAAGCTTTACCTCAAGTCTACAGTGTGTTTTAGTTACACGCCCAAGTATTTCCTTTGTGTTTTTCTCTGTTGATGAAAGGGATTCCATGCCTAGCAAGAAAGATCTTCTAAGGATCAACTGCTGGAAGTCAAGTCAAATACATTCCTCATACCAAGACTGGATACCCTTCCGGAAGCAAAAGTCCCTTGCGTTATCCTGGACTTAGGCCTGTGCCATAGAGGAAATCAAACTAGAGTATCTACCAACGCTTCTGGTCTTAGTATCCATGGCACGTACACAGAGATTGATGGCGAACAAACAGAAGAGCTGGAAGACTCTCCGAAACACAGTGACTAACTGTAGACTTCTCCACAGTTACCATGGCGAGAAAGCACTACCCGAGCAAGTAGGATATTGGCAACAAGGACAGACATGGGGATATTTTTCCCTTTACCTTCTATGGTGAGTGGGGAGTAATTTGGTGAGAAACAGAAGCTGAGCAGAGCAGCAAGGATGATTCTGCTACCACAACATGGAAACAACCACTGGTCATGAAGGGGATGGACAGGCGGGGTGGTGGTGGTGTCAGACTCTCTCAATCCCCCTCCCAGCCTGTGGATTTTGTGGGGAGCTTCAGAAAAGAGATTGATGCCCGGAACAATGTCGAGAGAATTTTATCAATATTATATGGGCAGCTCTGAAGTGAAATCCTGAGAATAACCCATGTCACCTACAGCAAATATAAAGGAGGAGGATGGCACAGAGAGAATCCAGGAGCAGCACAGAGGACTGTGACCAGCAACAAGGAGCTCATGCTGAAGGTGCGACTGAAACCAAAGCAAGACAGTAAGTCCACCCAAAAGCAGCAGGATAGCAGAAGTCAAAGAGGCTTGAGGTGAACCATAAAAATAATATATTGTCTTTTATAGTCACTCCAAGTTAGAGAGTCCTTAAGAAAGATCCTTATTTCTTCACCCAAAGCCCCAGTCTGCATATACAGATATATAAATACACACACCCCCACACATGCATTCATGAACAAATGGTGTCATTATTTTGAAAATCTGACACCCACTATTTAGCATGCAGTTGTTCCAAATGCCGCTATCAACAGTGCACTGCTTCCCCTTAGATGAAGGGCTTGATTTACCAGCAAAACAGATGGAAGTTTACAGAGCTCCATAGGCTATTTTTGATGGAACAGAAATGGCACTGAAAGCACAATGTGCTCCCCAATGGAGTCCTGTGGCAGAAATACATCATCATGTTTTCATTAATGTTTGAGCAATGGCATTCCCGATCGCACCTCCTTATACTGTACAGTACACAGAACTGTATTTTTATGAAAGATTGTACATGCATACTGAAGCCCTGGAAAAAGAACAAGTGTCTTAGGAACATTGATTTCACTTAACTGCATGAAACCTTCCTCTTTCCCCTGATTTATTTGTGGGTGCAATTCATAAGTTACTGAATTAGTTGAATATACATAGCATTTTGCAAGGCAAATGAATCAAGGCTTTTTGCTCCTTCTCTCCAAGAAAGCAATTTTAACTAAACCCCTCTATTCCTGCAGATGGGATGATGTTAGGTGTCATAATTATTGATCTTATAATCCTAGTTTCTGATTCACACAGATCTCAACAAAAGCAAAAGCTGTTGATATAAAATAGATCCAGTAAAGCACAGAAGATTAGTAAAGGATTAGGTTCCATCTCTGCTTCCAAAATCCTATCTCAACAGCACTCAAACAGCAGATGCCAAGTTTCAGCTGTGCAGTCTGTACACTAATTAATTTAGGAACTCAGACCAAATCAACACAGGCAATGCAAAGCTGGCTGGATTTCTTCACTTCGGTCACCTTTCATTTTCTATAAAACAATCTCAGTTCACACCTACAGACTCAAATCAGACACGTTCCAGAGCTTGTAACAATTCTGGTACCTAAAAGATTAGGACAAAAATTGGCTATTAATTCTAGAACTGAGTCGCTGACTAAGAACAAACCAGACCTTCAATATAATTCTTGGTCTAGTTGTGTTATGAATTATTTTCTGCAGAGTACTGACTTCACTATTGCCAAGTAAAGTCTGCAAATCTGCAGCAGCAAAACTGCTCCCAAGAAACTGGGTGCTGTAATGACCTTTAGTTTATGTTCACTTTCATACAGACCTTCAAATGGTAGCTACAAATACTTGTTTGGGCCACAAGAGACTTCATTAACTCTGCATATCAGCAGTCAAGTCATTCCTTTTGACAGAAATGTTTGCAAGGTTTAAGCATATACATGTATCTGAGAATTGTGATCACAGAGCCTGTGGACTGTGTTTATTTTACTAGAAAGAAATATCCTATTGTTCTGCAGATCTAATCAGTCCTTACTGCCCTTTCGCAATCATCTAGGTGATTTCGGTTGCCCCCAGATTCTTTCAAATAGTCTGTGATTCCCTCCCAAATCTTTCTCCAATGAACAGGTTTCAGAAAAAAACTAAGAAATAATTTCTTTCATATTCTTCCCCACAATGACTCAAGCCATCACGCCCCCACTGAGAAATTAACCTGTTCTCCTACTCATCCAAGTTTGATCAAAAACCTGGGATAACAGGAAGCATTATTGGCCCTGCCGCTGTGCACCAAGTGATGCTTCCCCAGCAGCCTCTAGCCACTACTGCCCGCCACCGCACTTCCCAGCCCAAGCTAGCTCCTGTTCCTATTAGACCCTGACCCAAAATATTCCAGAAAAAGGAGGGGTGGAAGACTGTTTATTGCCACGTTGCTGTGCTGAAGCAGCTCAGAAGGTGTTGCCAAGCAGCACAAGCAGCCCAGGGAGAGATGGGAACACAGCAGTCGGCAGCACTGGGCACTGGGAGGCTTCCCCAAACTGCCACGCGAACATGTGGGATTTCAGGGGATCATGGCCTGGTGTAATGAGTGTTTTGCCCTGCACCAGCTTTGGGTGTTTTGGGTTTTTTTAAAGAAGAAACAAGGAAATGCTATACTTAGGGAAAAATACACAATTAGGCTACTTTCTTACCAAGTTTCAATGAGCTTAGCAAGATACATTGTTTTTTTAAAAACTTTCCTTTGGAGGGGTGATATATCAGTGACAAAAATCTAAGCCTCATCTCACAGCAGAGCTGACAAACTACTTTCCTCATCATGTCCAATGACACTTCAGAGTGGCAGGACATCAAATATTCATTTATCAAAAGCAGGGATGCTTTCAGATACTAGAAAAACAGCAGAAGAAAATGTTACCTCCAAGATGAAATTTCAAGTTTAAAGTCTTACAGGCCAATATTCCTTTAAGAGCTTTAGCAACTTTAAAAGGTCCCTTTAAAAATCTTTATGCTTAATGTATTTTTAGACAAATATTTTTATGACTACAAGATGAGCAAGTTCCCCACTGCTTTATACTGTTCCTATGGAAACAAACCCATTGGCGAACAGGAGTCCTGAACAACTCTGATGCCACTGTCTGTACCCTGCTGCTTTTAGCAGGAATAAATCACCGTTTAGAAATCCACAAGTCTAGAGGGCTGATTATGTAGGGCTCAAGGAATTGCAATCAACAGAGTCCAAACAAAGCTCTCCAAATGAAAAGTCAGAAGTGCACAAAATGGCTAGAGGCTTCCTTACTGAGCATACTTAAATCGCTTTGCATATGGAGAATGGACTCAGGAAATTAATTCTGAATTGATAAATGCATGTTACATCAAGACAGATGAGAATCTTTATATTTAATCTGCAGATCAGAATCAGAGTTTTGGTCTGTATGTGTCGGTAGTGCCAATTATAAAGAAATGATTTGTTATGAAAGAATAGAAGCAACATACAGACATGCTCCATAACACTCAGACTTACTGCTACAACTACTAACTTCTGCAGGAAGCTTTCAGAGGCAGAGGAGGGAACAGACAACAGCTGGCGTGTATAAGCTTGCATTTTCTGTGGCAAACCAAGTAAACAAGGTGTGGCGAAGACTGCTACAGAGGACAATTTAGCACAGAAAGGAGAGGACAGGGATTCAAATCAAGCACGGTTTGAGCCTGCCCTTCTACAATCTGGCAGCTCTTCTCCAGATGCCAGATGAGGCCTAAAACCTACAGCACGTCCCCATTCCTTTATCAGTCAGAGCTGCTTCAAGGGCAGACAGCTCCATGATGGAGAGGCATCAGAGAGCACAGTGCGATTCTTCAGTGATGTGAGAGAGGGATGGAGGTGCCCTGAGCTTCCACATGCGTTTTCTGTCTAGCATCTTCAAAAGGAAAAGGGAGAGGCGGCGTGACAGTGCTATAAAGGCTGTCTCTGCCATTTCTTGGAAGAGACTCTCCGGGAAGTTATTAAGTGTCCACTGCTAGAAATAGTTCAGAACAGGAAAAATACATGTGTCAAGACAAAACCTGTTAGGAACAGGGGTAGTGAAGAACAGAATCAGGTTGGTTTTTGAGATCCAGTACAAATCCAGTTGCTGTGATCTTCCACCATTAACACCAAGAGTTACTCTGATCTCTTGGTACAGTAGGCATCTAAACATAGGGGATTTATTTCGCAAGAGTAAAGATGAGGTCAAAGCAGTTTGTGATCTCTACAAAACATGAAAGTGATGAAGGATCTTAAAATGTTTTAATCAATCCTGTGAAGGCTACCATTGCACAAGTACAGTTTTGCCTTTCCTATAGGATAGATTGCCTTTTAACCTCAAGAGAAAGTTTCCGCTTAAGTCACTGGGCATCTCCTGCCAAATACTTGCTCTTTACCGGTGAGGATTTCTGGCAAGAGACTGTGAGCTTCCTAATGTCACCTGCAGCATCGCAGACCCTGGTGATACATATTCTATATTTGAGAATACCTACTGCTTGTGCCCTCAGACCTTAATGAGTGGCTAAAAACTTCAGATAGGTTATTTTTATACTGCTAACTACCACGATTCATCCATTTCTACACTCCAGGGAGAAAAACAGGAAGGAAACACTTAGTAAGTCCTCAATTTCATTTAACATTGGTAATGAGCATTAAGCAAGCTGTGGGAAGCAGAAGAAAACCAACCTCATTCCAGTTGGAGTGGCATTTAATAAACCTAAGCGACTCTGGAAAAATAAAGATATATTCAGGAGGTGGGTGGCACATGGAAGGATTAATTTGTGTTAATTAGAAGTTGTGGAGGAGGAATATTTTGAAGGGGGGGAAGCAGTTTCAGAATTTCAGTGAACAATGTGATAAATACTAATTAGCCAATTATTTCTCCATAGTGGCAAGCAGCTTCCAAAGTAATTTCTTCTTCTGCAACTGTCACACCTCCTGTTAAGTGGCTAAGATGCGCCCCACACAAGCCTCAGACATAACTATTCTGGCAGGACCAGTTTGCCCTCAGCAGTAGCACTCCTTTTATCTTACATTTGATAAGGGCAAAGGAAGAGGGAATAGAGGCTCTTCCAGAGAATCAGGGTTATCTAAATTAGACATTTAAACAGAACAAGTGTGAGATGCTAACTTGCAGAGGGAAAAGCTCAACATACTTATGAGAAAGACTAAAAATAGAAACTATTGGGAACATCCCACCTCAAGATCAATTATGTCATAAGGTTGTCTATATACAGACTGTTATCCTTTTATTTGTCCTAAGCATAGAAGTCTTAAAACTTTACTAAGTACTTTCAGAAAGCCCAGCATTCAATAGTTCTTGTTATAAAAAAAAAAAAAAGAGTGATGATTATTGGGAGAGAGAAGAGAGGCAGGGAAAGAGAGACGTATGCATGATCCCAAAGACAGTGATTAGTATCATCTTATTAAGGCTACTACGGTAACACCAAACATGAACTAACCTGGAGAACCATACTCATGTCTTGGTAACCTGCAGATCTTAGGCATCACTTCCATTAAGGTCTTGACATACTGAAGAATTGTCCCTTGTAACTAAGAGAAAACAGATGTGTGTAAACGTGTCAGTGTTACTGAACTAAGAAACTTTACAACAAATTGCATTCAAACTACACATGAATTGAACAAGCTCTAAAAATCTTGCATTTAATTCTGCCAGTCATCATCTTCAAAAAGGCAACTTTTTCAAATGAATGCAGTTGCACTTTCCTTCATATGGCATTAGACACCCTTTGCTGTAGGAAGACTGGCACAACAGCTAAGGCCAGGAAGGTAAAAAAGAGGAAATCACGTTCTTCTCTTGCAGACTGTCTCTATTGTCTAACCAACTTTTAGATTTTTGGTAAAAGAAGTTGCATTTGAATGCTTTCAAAAGCAACAACAGAAAAATCCTTAGCATTAGGTATGTCTGTAACAGCTCAAACTGGCTATTCCAGACATACCAGTTAAGACACAGTCCCAGCCTACAGTCAGTGTGCCTTCCTCCCACGAGACACCTATCTCATACCTGTCTGCCTACATCTGATCACCTGCATCAGGCATCAGCAGGATACCTCCCCCCAAGCCTTTTAACCTCCTTTATAAATGCCCAAACATCCAACGCTATTAACAAATTGAGACGATTTACCCCTTAAATAAATAATAAAAGAAAATCCCCCCAAACCCAACAAAGCAACACTCAACCCCAAACCACGAAAAATATCTGTGTTTTCCTCTTTTCCTGAAGATTAGACCATAGTACCCCTTCAAGCAGGCTCCAGCCTTTCTAGAATGTCAAAAATGTACTTAGAACATTGTGGAAATTACTGTAAACAAACTGCTGAATGTGTCAAGTGTCTGAAGTGAGATTATGAAAACTACAGCTATCCCCTCATATAGTTGGATTATTTTGGCAGCATGCTCCTTACAGGCAACAGGGACAGGGAGGAAAAGACCATTTCTTTGGCTTAAACTTAACTGCAATGCATTATGACTGTATACATAGATACTAATAATATAGCAAACAGCCAGCTGCTCAACCACCTCCTAGTTACTCTTCTAAATAGGCTTGATGCTATCCATTACTAGATCAAGCACAGAGATTAAATCGTCTTTGTTATTAAGGTGTCATCTGTCAATGATGTTAGTAATGAAAGCCTTGAAGTTGGGCAAGGCAGAAAAGCACACTCCAGCTGTTCTTAAAAAATATCGAGAAAATGAATTTACAGTACAATCTTTAAGTTGAAATCAACTAGTTTGACACATTCATACTTTTCCAGAGTCTACCCAGGACCTAACAGCATAAGTCTCCACAAATGAAACTCATCTCCAATGCAGAATCCAAGGTTTTCAAAACACCGCTCAGGCTGCCAAGGCACATCATCTATTGCTTTCACAAGATGTTGAGTATTCTCAAACACAGCTTATACTGAACTTCAGTGGAAGTAACATTTTAATTAGTTTTATCTGAGTTCTTACTTTCACTTTGTTTTTCTTGAGACATTTCCTAACAGAAGCCATTTGGAATGGCAGAAAATGAAAGACAACTGGCATACCAGGCTCTTGACAACTTTCAGCAATTCCTCCATCACCACAGCAATACCCTGATACCCAAGAAGTCTACAGATGACTTTAAAGTGAGGAGGACCAACAAAATTCCTGTAGTTGCTGTAGATGCTGGAATATGCCAGATTCAATGCCTAAAACGAGAGAACAGATAGGGTTAATTACAATTTCAGCTGACTGCATTGTTATAATAATCTTGTTTAAACAGCATTTTAAAGCATATTAAAAATAAAATAATGGCTTTGTATCTCACTGTCTCTCCAGGAAGTTAAAATACAAAGCTTCCCTTTTGTAAGGCAGGAACTCCAACCAGTATCTCTGTATTAGCAAGAAAAACTTGTAAACACCTTTTTTTTTCACCAGGCATCTTCCACTTACCATTTATAAAGCCACGAACATTTCCTCTTTCATGTTTTTTCTATTTACAGAGGTATAAAAGGATAAAAGTAGTCAATGCCAGTATTCAGATCCCTGAATTTTAAGCACAGCTTTGATTCCTATATCATCCATTTTACATAAAAACATCTTGAAAGAAGTTACTTCAATTTTCAGTTCATAATAGGTGTTTTAAGTCTCTGAGGAGTAAACTACAAAAAAACAGCCTTCTGCAGTTAACTGCTCTCTGCAGCTAATTAATAAGGATCTCTCTTTTTCAAATCCTTTAGCTGTACACAAGATCAAAGCAAATCTAAGTCTGGGATGTAACCTCATGGAAATATTCCAGAGTTGTATAAATAGGATGAGGTGCTTTGCCATATTAATGACTAGTTTTTCAAAGCGAACGCAACTGTACAGACCGATGCTGTGTAGGGATTTAGGAACTTTTTGCTGAAGCCACGGATCAAAGGGGAGTTAGCTAACTTAACATCCTCCACTTCTGTAAGTGGGTTATTCTCCTGTTTCTCTAATACATGTGACATGGTTTAACCCCAGCCAGCAACTAAGCACCACACAGCTACTCACTCACTCCCCCGCAGTGGTATGGGGAGAGAATTTGGAAAGTGAGAAAACTCGTGGGTTGAGATAAGAACAGTTTAATAATTGAATAATAAGCATAAGAATATACAAAGCAAATGATGCACAATGCAATCGCTCACCACCCGCCAACCGATACCCAGACAGTTCCAGAGCAGCGATCGCTGCCCCCTGCCCAACTCCCCCCAGCTTATATACTGAGCATGACGTCATATGGTATGGAATAGCCCTTTGGCCAGTTTGGGTCAGCTGTCCTGGCTCTGCCCCCTCCCAGCTTCTTGTGCACCTGGCAGAGCATGGGAAGCTGAAAAAGTCCTTGACTAGTGTAAGCACTACTTAACACACTGATGTCTTACTTGTTGCTATCAACGTTATTCTCATACTAAATCCAAACCACAGCACTATGCCAGCTACTAGGAAGAAAATTAACTCCATCCCAGCCGAAACCAGGACAGTATCCACCCCTTATTCTATACCATCTGTCATTCCCAGGTCCTACCCTTTCCAACACATTCCGATTAATCACCACCACTTTTCCTGTCTTCTGATATATACACACAGATGTCATTCCCTTCATCTATGGGCTATGCCTCTAAAATGTCCATTGACTTCATTTAGTCCATGACTTTGGGTTCCATCTGTCATAACAGTCTTTCAGGGCAGGAGAGATGGTGTGTGTTGTTGGATTTTTGCATGCTGAAGCCAGTTCTGGTTCCATTACTGCTACACTTTGCTTGGTTTCATCAAAGTTCATTCTTCATTAATCTGAGTGATTCTTACTGTAATACTGTTGACATGGCATATAGCAACCACAGAAGTGATGACATACAGTACTATACAGCAATTAACATAATTGCTTTCAGTTCATTGGCTATTTTCACCCAAAATCAAATCCCCTTGAGGTCCACATCAGACTTCACCATCCTTCCACATCAGCCACCAAGTGCACCCAGGTCCTTGAGCAAACACAATCTCATGGATGGGTTTGCCTTTGCCTGAGGCAGGAGTAGCCCAGACTGCCTTCCCCAGCATATTTCTTACTTGCACTACAGGGACTTTATCTCCTTCTACAGTACATAAAACTTTTGGCTGGGCAGGGCCAGCTCAACTGGCAGATCCCCTAGTGTGACTAACCAGGTAGCTTTTGCTAAATGTGTATCCCAATGTTTGAATGTCCCACCACCCATTGCTCTCAGGGTAGTCTTTAACAGTCCATTGTATCATTTGATTTTCCCAGAGGCTGGTGCATGATAGGGGATGTGATATACCCACTCAATGCCGTGCTCTTTGGCCCAGTTGTCTATGAGGTTGTTTCGGAAATGAGTCCCATTGTCTCACTCGATTCTTTCCAGGGTGCCATGTTGCTGTAGCATTTGCTTTTCAAGGCCCAAGATGGTGTTCTGGGCAGTGGCACAGGATATGTTTCCAGCCACCCAGTGGTTGCTTCCACCATGGTGAGCACATAGCGCTTGCCTTGGCAGGTTTGTGGGATTGTGATATAATCAATCTGCCAGGCCTCCCCATATCTGTATTTCAGCCATCATCCTCCATACCACAGAGGCTTTAACTGCTTGGCGTGCTTGATTGCAGCTCATGTTTCACATTCAGGGATAACCTGTGCAATACTGTCCATGGTTAAAGTCCATCCCTTGATCATGAGCCCATCTATGTGTTGCATCTCTTCCTTGATGGCCTGAGGCGTCACAGGCCCACCGAGCTATAAATAATTCACCTTTATGTTGCCAGTCCAGATCCACCTGAGCCACTTCAATCTTAGCAGCCTGATCCACCTGCTGGTTGTTTTGATGTTCTTCAGTGGCCCGACTCCTGGCTACGTGAGCATCTATGTGATGTACTTTTACAACCAGGTTCTCTACCCAGGCAGCAATATCTTGCCACAATGCGGCAGCCCGGATGGGTTTGCCTCTGCGCTGCCCGTTGCTTTGCTTCCATTGCTGCAGCCACCCCCACAGGTCATTTGCCACCATCCATGAGTCAGTACAGAGATAAAGGACTGGCCACTTTTCTCTTTCAGCAATATCTAAAGCCAGCTGGATGGCTTTCACCTCTGCAAGCTGACTCGACTCCCCTTCTCCTTCAGCAGTTTCTGTGACTTGTTGTATAGGACTCCATACAGCAGCTTTCCACCTCCGATGCTTTCCCACAAGACGACAGGACCCATCAGTGAACAGGGCATATTGCTTCCCATTTTCTGGCAGTTTGTTATACAGCAGGGCCTTTTCAGCACACGTCACCTCCTCCTCTGGTGATATTCCAAAATTTTTGTCTTCTGGCCAGTCCTTGATTACTTCCGAGATTCCTGGGCGACTGGGGTTTCCTATTCGAGCTCGTTGTGTGATCAATGCAACCCGCTTACTCCATGTAGCATCAGTTGCATGATGTGTAGAGAGGACCCTCCCTTTGAACATCCAGCCCAGCACTGGCAGTCGGGGTGCCAGCAGGACCTGTGCTTCTGAAGCAGCTTGAACCCCTTCATATACTGCCAATATCTCTCTCAGTTGGAGTTTAGTGGGTCTTGGATCCTCTGTATCCCCAACTCCAAAACCCTAGGAGTTGCCGCCAAAACCCTAGGGGCTGACCTCGAGCCTCCCCTGGTGCTTTCTGCCAGAGGCTCCAGGTAGGGCCATTCTCCCTGGCTGCGGTGTAGAGCATGTTTTTTACATCCAGTACTGCCTGGACTGGCCCAAGGGCTACTGCATGAACTATCTCCCCTTTAATTTGTTCAAAGGCTTGTCGTTACTCAGGGCCCCATTTTAAATTGTTCTTCTTCCGGGTCACTTGATAGAGAGGGCTTACGATCAGACTGTAATTTGGAATATGCATTCTCCAAAAACCCACAATGCCTGAGAAAGCTTGTGTTTCCTTTTTGCTAGTTGGCGGGACATAGTTGTTATTTTGTTGATCACATCCATTGGGAACTGATGACATCCATCTTGCCAGTTTATTCCTAAAAACTGGATCTCCTGTGCAGGTGCCTTGACCTTACTTTGTTTTACGGCAAAACCAGCCTTCAGAAGGATTTGGACTATTTTATTCCCTTTCTCAAAAACTTATTCTGCTGTGTTGCCTCATAAGATGATGTCATCAATGTATTGCAGGTATTCCGGAGCTTCACCCTGTTCCAGCGCCGTCTGTATGAGTCCATGGCAAACGGTGGGGCTGTGCTTCCACCCCTGGGGCAGTCAGTTCCAGGTCTACCGGACACCCCTCCAAGTGAAAGCAAACTGGGGCCTGCACTCTGCTGCCAAAGGGATTGAGAAAAACTCATTAGCGATATCCATTGTGGCATACCACTTGGCTGCCTTTGACTCCAGTTCATCATGTCTGGCACAGCAGCACTCAGTGGCAGTGTAACTTCATTCAGGCCACGATAGTCCACAGTTAGTCTCCACTCCCCATTAGACCTTTGCACTGGCCGTATGGGACTGTTAAAGGGTGAGCAAGTCTTGCTGATCACTCCCTGGCTCTCCAGTTAATGAATCAGCTATGGATGGGAATCAGGGAGTCTCAGTTGGTGTGATATTGCCGCCGGTGCACCATTGCGGTAGCACTTTGACCCTCAGCAAAGCCACAACAGAGGGGTTCTCTGAGAGACCAGGCAAGGTGGACAGCTGTCTAATACCCTCTCCTGAGGTAGTCTATGCCAAGGATGCACGGAGCGTCTGGGCCAGTCACCATGGGGTGCTTCTGCCACTCATTCCCAGTTAGGCTCACTTCAGCCTCCAATACAGTCAGCTGTTGAGATCCCCGTCATTCCAGAAATACAGATGGGTTCTGCCCCTTCACCGTTTGACGGCATTAGGGTACACTGTGCACCGGTGTCCAGTAGAGCCTTATACTCCTGTGGGTCTGATGTGCCAGGCCATCAAAGCTACACAGTCCACTAAACCCAGTTGTCCCTTTCCTCCACCTGGACAGAGGCAGTGCCTCTCTGCTCACGGTCATAGTATTCACTACTCACTTCTTGTAAATGTGAATCAGAAGTCCCTTTATTAAGATCAGGAGTAAAATCAGCCCTTCTACTCTGTCTGGGGAACTGCTCACCAGAAACCAAAGCAGTAATTTTCCTGGAAGAACCCCCTTGTGTGACTGTTTTTCCTTGCAACTCACGTACCCGTGCCTCTATGGTCAAGGTAGATTTTCCATCCCACTTCCTCATGTCCTCTCCGTGGTCATGCAAGTAAAACCACAGAGTGGCCTGTGGTGTGTATCCTCTATATCCTCTCTCTTGAGCAGAGGGACATTGACTTCTAGTGGCTGAGATACTGATCCGTACAGGTGGGGAGAAGGACCTATCCTCTTTGAGTTGCTGGGCCTTCTGGGACAGTTTCTCCACAACCAAGATGAGGGAGGATGAGAATCTTTCTTCATATTGCCGGAGTTGGCCAGCCAATTCATCCACTGTTTGTTCCTCTCTGTCTTTCCAGGTCATTACTGCCAACGAGTCAGCATGCGACAATGGTGCACTCCATAGAAACTTCCACCACATGCGTCGTGTGCACCTGACTTCACCTGGATCTTTGGGTAACTGCTCATTGTTCAAGTCACTATAAATCACCTCCAGCACAGCTAATTCCCTCAGGTACTGGATACCTCTCTCCATGGTAGTCCACTTGCCTGGGTGACATATAACATCTTCCTTGAAGGGATACCTTTCTGTCACACCTGACAGGAGTTGCCTCCAGAGGCTGAGGGCTTGTGCCCCTTTTCCAATCACTTTGTCAATGCCCCCTTCCCCAGAAAGGGATCCCAGTTGTCTGGCTTCCTTACCCTCTAATTCCAGGCTTGTGGCCCCATTATCCCAGCATCAGAGCAGCCAGGTGACAATGTGCTCGCCTGGACAACAACTGAAATCTTTCTGCGTATCTCACAGCTCACTCAGGAATAGGGATTGGGTGGTTATCATCTCATTTATGGGTTCTGCCTCTTCTTCCTCCTGTTCTCGTGATGGCCCTGATTCATCTTCACCCCTTACTAGATGAGCCGATTTTATTGTATATTTCTTCTTGTGTGGTGATTGACACCAGCATGGGTACCTGTTGTGGGGGTTGGAGTATTTGCAGTGCCTGTCACAGGGGTTGGAGTAGATACAGTGCCTGTCATTTTGTCGTCAGATTCAGAGACCTTCTCTTCCCCTTGAGGGTTCTGAATAGTGTTGAACAGGGCTCGATAGGCATGGGCCAGCCCGCAGCACACTGCGGTGATTTGTGTCTCTCTGGAGTTGCCAGGGTGACAGCATACTTTTTCCAAATACTTAATAGTTTTTCAGGATTCTGCACTTGTTCAGAGGTGAAGTTCCAAAACACTGGAGGTGCCCACCGTCCTAGGTACTTGCCCATACTATCCCACACACCCTGCCACTCATAACTCTCCAGCCTTGGGGCAGATCTCTGGATGATATTCTTAAATTGCTTATTAACTTTAGACAAAAACAAAACAATATTCCCAAGAAATACCAATAGAAGTATCTTAACTGCCCAAGGATGTTCAAGATACTGAAAAGTTACTGTAATGAAGGAGGGAAACATCATAGAAGAAGGTAGCAAAGGTGCCATTCTGTATTTCCTTCATCAAAAACCTCTCAGAGGAAGAGGTATAATTGCTAACTGTCTCCATGAGGTGGTACCCAAAGTACAGTGACAGCTTCAGTACAGAACCCAAATACCAGATTAAGCTCAAGGCCAGTGTTTTAATAACAAGTCTCCCAGGCAAAACATCACTAATCACTGCAGAGCACAGCAAATTGCAAAAACCAACACCAATCTTTAACATGTACAGCAAAAAAAAAAGCTTGGTGCAGATCAGATAAACTAATGTCAAGAACAAATGAAACAATATTGTGACTGGCAACTGTTAACAGATATAAATTCCTTAATATGCTCTGGTTAATCTGTTATTATCTCAAACCCTTCGTGCCCCACGCTGGGCACCAAAAAGGACTGTCGTTGTTTAACCCCAGCCAGCAACTAGGCACCACAGAACCACTTGCTCACTCCCCCCCGGTGGGATGGGGAGAGAAATGGAAGAGTAAAAGTGAGAAAACTCATGGGTTGAGATAAGAACAATTTGATAACTGAAATAAGATAAAGTAAAATAGTAATAATAAGAATATACAAAGCAAGTGATGCACAATGCAATTGCTCACCACCTGCCAACAAATACCCACACAGTTCCCGAGCAGCAATTGCTGCCCCCTGGCCAACTCCCCCCAGCTTATATACTGAGCATGACGTCATATGGTATGGAATAGCCCTTTGGCCAGTTTGGGTCAGCTGTCCTGGCTCGGCCCCCTCCCAGTTTCTTGTGCACCTGGCAGAGCATGTGAAGCTGAAAAGTCCTTGACTAGCATAAGCAGTACTTAGCAACAACTAAAACATCAGTGTGTTACCAACATCATTCTCATACTAAATCCAAAATACAGCACTATGCCTGCTACTAGGAACTCTATCTCAGCCAAAACCACGACAATACGCATGAAAGACAGCATACTGTTAGACTTTCAACTCCATGCACATCAGCTGTAACAGAAAATTTTCCTTCACCAGTATCCCGGAAAAACATTGCCTTTCCCTCCAATTGAGATCCTGCCCCAATTATCCATTCAAGTCAATACCAGATACTGTAATACATGGCAGTGCACAAAGAAACTACTAGGAATTCAAGTCATGAAACTCTACCAAGCTCTTGGAGGATTTTAGTCTCATAAAAGTAAAGGAGCTACAAATCATCTTTAGAAGAGATGGGGATAGAAGATACACATTTTTATTTAGGTTGTAAATCTCTATATAAACACCAGTTTCCAACATGTTTTGAACTGTGGACTTCGAAATTTAAAAATTGTATTCTAGACTGACATAGAGCAAATGCAAATTTGGCAACAGGTTAACACTTCTTGGCCACATTTTGTGGGTGCCTCAGATGTACTTCACAAACCCTCATGGGTCAAAAATTCTTGCATTAGGAAAGAAATACACGAAAGCACAGTCTCAGAAGAGACCGTCTAGGTCATAACAAGAGAGAAAAAAGAGATCCAAAACCAGGTTTCTGAATCAGGCAACTCCTGACCTAAGAGACACTTTGCATATGTTAAAACACATACACATAGAAAATTACATAAATTTTATCATGCTTCAACAACCACAGAAAGTTATAACCAGCAATTTATTTCTGCAATGTGAAAATTCAAGAAGTTGCCAGTACTGAAATTTACTTAAAGGTTTAGTTATATTTCTCACGTGCCTGAACTTCTGCCTCCATCTGTGTGAAGAAACTATACAGCATGATAGCCTGACCTGCGGAAGGTGGGTTTTGGGGTTTTTTTGTTTTTCTTATCTTGAGGTGAACAAGAAGCTGACCATGAGCCAGCAGCATGTCCTCACAGCAAAGGCAGCCAACAGCCAGCGGGGCTGCATCTGGCAGAGCACTGCCAGCAGGTGAAGGAAGGCGATCCCTCCCCTCTGCTCAGCATGGATGAGACACACCGGGAGTACTGGGTCCAGGGATGGGCTCCCCAGTACAGGAGAGACATGGAGAGACGTATGGGAGAGTCCAGCAGTGGGCCTCAAAGATGGTTAAGGGACTGGAGCATCTTCCCTATGAGGAAAGGCTGAGAGAGCTGTGACTGTTCAGCCTGGAGAAGAGAAGGCTCAGGAGGATCAAATCCACGTGCATAAGTAACTGATCGGGGGAGTAAAGATGATAGACCCAACTGTGCTCAGCAGTGCCCAGTGACAGGACAAGGGGCAATGGGCACAAACAAGAAACCCCACTTAAATATCAGAAAAAACTTCACTACTGTGAGGGTGGTGGAACAGAGAGGCTATGCAGTCTCTGCCATCAGAGATGCTCAAGACCTAACTGGACACATCCCTGAGCAACCTGCTGCAGGTCACCCTGCTCTGGAGGGTCCCCTGGCCTCAGCCATCCATCAGTCTGGGAAACTCTGTTCTAAGGACTGTGGGTTTGTGTTGATTTTGTGGAGGAGGGCTTTTTCCAAATACTCATCCATCTTTTCTGTGAACACAAACTAAAATAGACACTTGGCTAGTTATTAGACTCCTAATAGATGACACAGTCCCGCTATTAGATCAGAGCTGACTAAAAGGCTAGACTCCAAACACACCCCACCAGGTGGACAGCCTAAAGCTGCATCCCTCTAGTACAACGCGTGTGTTTGCGTAGCTCTCTGCTTACAGAAAAGGGGTCTGGGGCATTGACAGGTGACAGAACTGGTAAAACCTTAAGAAAATATGTGCAGATGAATGTCCCGATATACTAAGCATTTATACAGTTGTCCCTAAAAGATGAGATTTCATCCTTTGCTTTTGATGCGTCCAGTCAGGTAGGTCTCTACAATAAATGTGTCCAAACTATCTATTTCGGCTACAGCACAAGGAGAATTTTACTCCAGTAGGTTAAATCATTTTACTGCTGTGAGGTTAAGGGTAGGGAACTCCTCTTCACACAGCAGAAATTTGTCATAGAAAAGCAAGCCCTAAAACCATGATTTCAGTATTTAAAAACTCACCAATACATAGCAATAAGAAGCCAACCAATCTAAAAATACATCTTTCTTTAATGTAACCCTCATGGGGAAGTACCTAAAATGGTCCACCTGTAAACGTTGGATTAGCAGAGCTTTATAAACTGTGACAAGGGATTTAGAAAACATGATCATACGCCACCACCACTTCCCTGCTGTGATGCACAAAAGCATAAAATGCTTAGGGAAGAAGCCACTAACAAAGTTGGGGGGGAGGAAGGGAAGGAAAGAGAGAGGGAGCTCTGGGGGGGCTTTTTAAGCTATGTTTGCTCCCTCCTCTACTTAAATTAAATAACAAAAGGGGAGAGAGAGAGAGAGTTGCTAGTTGCTGATGTCATCAAAGTGCTAACATTAATCACTCACAGCATCACTGGTACAGGCACACGAGCATACAACAGGGATGTTCAGGCAGTACACTGTCCAAGGGGAAGCAAGAAAGAGAGGGAGGGAAAAGACATTATTTTTTCTCCTCTGTGTTCTTTGAAAAACAAGGCAACAGCATCTTTAGACAAGATGTGCTCTTGCATGAATTTAAGTGGAAGAGACAAAGAAACCATGCCACCAGCAGCATCGGAGAAAAAAAATGAAAGCACCAAGCAATGAGAATTCAGTCCAGGGAATCTGAGGGGAAGAAAAAGCAAACTGGGAAGCAGAGATCAGGCAGGAAATAACTCATGTGAAAAAGGATATAGAAAATTTAGTGTTTATGTCATTTTTGCAGCAGCATCACCATATGAAAATTCTGTTCTGAAATTTCCATCAGGAAGTGACGGTAAGTACTGACTTTATAATCTATAAGACATCAAATGGGTTTTCCAAACATTTACATGCCAATAATTACGTATCTTCTAATAATTGATGTTTTGTAATAATAAAAAAACAGTATTATTTTTGTTTAATTAAAATCCAAACATTCAGCTTACAAAATGCTGTGAGGATGAAACTATTGTTTCTAGACTGTGTTAGGAAGTGTTCTATAAAAATAAATTATAATTTTAAGTAATTGGGATCTACCAGCTAAAGAGAAGACAAATGAGCAAGTAAAAGCTCTGATTTTACTAATGCACCTGATTTTAATATCTGTAGAAGTTGGGTAGATGCCAAAATGTGTCTAATAAGTTTATCTGATAGCAAACTCAATTCCCTTATATTGTTGCTGTATCAAAAAGGGTGCACTTACCACATGATTAGAAAGGCAGTGTCTACCCAGATCAGTCATACCTAAGGTTTTATACTGTAATGAAAATGAACATACATCTTTTTCTTCCCACTTTCCAGTAAGTATAATCCAAAAACCTCGAGCAACAATTTTCATACAGAAACAGTCACAGAATTCTTACTATTAATGTAATCCAACAATCAAGATCCCACTAAAATAATATATTTTGCCAGCCTCCTATCTAGTATAAAATACAATAAAAGTATTACAGAGTAATTTTAGAATATGTTATGAGCAAATGTTATGAGCTTTCGTAATCAGGAAAATTTTCAATAGTAAATTGTTATTTAGCCAGGAGACTTAACATCTGAAACCTGATCATTAAAGAAAGAAAAAAAAAAAAAAAAAAAAAAAGAGGTAAGTTTTTCATTTTTATGACAAAGTCATAAACAATGAAATACAGTGTTGCTGTCATGGGAATTTATGTTCATAAAAAAGGCAAGAAACTTTCACAGTGGAAAAAACTTTCACACAAGTGCCACTAGAAACTAAGTATTAAACTACAAGAGAAGCAGATTAAATTGCCAAGGCGGGCGCTTTTGAAAAAGTTACCATCACAACTGTAAAATAAAAAAACCCCACCCAACAAACAAAAATATCCACTGGCTGTTATTAAGGGTTGTTTTGTTACAAAATAACAATTTTAATTAAAAGTCTACCAAGGCAGAAGCCAACTTTTTGTCCTGAAAGGAAGATATTCTTTAACAGAAGTGTTTAGAAAATTGCAGAAAATAGGTGTTTTCCTTACACTATTTACAGTTGTAACACAAATTCAGAATCTTAAAATACTGGCAGGTTTTCTAATGTTAATTTTATTATGAAGAGGAGTATTAGTTCAGTGCAGACATACTATGGAATTACATACAATCACGTAGCACAGAAAAGAGTATTAGTTATTTTTTAAAAAAACACTACCCATCCAAAGGGTATGCTGTAGAGAAAGCTGTACTTCACCAACTAAGCCTAGCTTGAGAAAGCTTTTCCAAGAGGCTGACTAGCATCAAGACTAAATACTGTGATACCGATGCCACCAATCTACAATCATCACAGCCGGTGCTCTAGCAGTCGCTACAGGTGTGCTAACACACCAGCAAAAAAACAGAGAATATCAGCAAGTAAGAAACTAATCATAGAATCATAGAATTGCTTAGGTTGGAAAAGACGTTTAAGATCATCCAGTCCAGCCATTAACCTAACACTACCAAGTCCACCACTAAACTAGTTCAGCATAGAGTAATAATTTCAATGTAAAATTATATTGGAGACAAAATAATATTTGGCGATGTTTCCATGTACTGTGTTGTTTTTCAATTGACTGTGAGAGGGAAAAATCAAGACTTCTGGATGGCCAGAGGAATCTACCCTCAAGATCCACCCCTGCCACCCCTCACTTGCCACTTAACGTAAGAAAATTCAATGCTCACAAAAGCAAGCTTTGAGATTACAGAAAACCCCAAATAAGTAGAATAAAATGCGAGATACTCAGACCACAGGGAAAAGCAAATGCTGCATTTCTTTCCTTTAAAAAACAAACAATTCCAATCCCCACTTACCAACATACCCATTAGGCAAGTATTTTGTGTAACAGGTAAAGAGTTAATTACTTGGATGGTCAATCTGTCACAGTCTTTAGTTTAATGCCAAACCAGACAGTGTTTCAATTCAGTTTAGATTTCCATTACTTTTTTTTTTTTTTTTACAAGTTTGATTCATAACATAAAATTGTTTTAAGTATTAAGCTTTTTTTCCTATTAGAAATGTTTGTTCTGTTAAAAAGAATACTCCAGCATTGCTCCAAAGGAAAGATGCATTTAATAATGCATCTGTTTAAACTTCTGATCATTTGTTTTTCCCTGTGGAGGGGTATATATTTCAGAAGTACAAAGCATATTCACCTCTCCCTTTTATAGTCTTGAAGAGGTTTTTTCCCCCTTAATGTTACCTAACCACAAATTCCTTAAGACTAAAATATCCAGTGACCTTATTCTAGGGACTGTCCCAAGTACGTAGGCAATGTGTATACCAAAGTTAACATAGAGGCTAATTTTGAACGGGATGCTGAGGGCCAGCAGCCCCTTGCTCTCCGTTACAAGCCCACAGTCGTCTGGAAAAAAAAAGTGAATAGAAGTGGTTCCCCAATTGCAAATTCTGCAAAACACACTGTCTCTCACAGAGACAAGATACAACTGATCACCTGGACAGGCAGCAGCTCCAGTTGAATTTCTGTAAGCATACATCTAGCCTTTCACTTGGGAAAAAAGTACACAGTTTAAAATACTCCAAACTTCATGAACTGCCAACTCTCACTTCGATGCAGCAGTACCAACAATAAGAGCACAGTTTCCTAATAAACTCCCTTCCTAAATTACAGAGCACTACGATTAAGATCCACGCAACATCTCCAGTACTGCAACTGCTCAGTTACCTTCCTGGGAAACGAACATCTCCCCTTTCCACAGCGGGATTGGCATCAGGAGAGAAAAAAACCTACCTAAGCAACATCCCAATGGGAATAACAGTCCAAAACATCACAGGAAACACAGCGATGGTAATTTGGCCAAAAATGGCCAGTTGTGCCGACAGCTTTTACAGCGTCATGTACCACCCTAACTGGAACAGCATGCTATCGAGTTACTCGAGAAAGAGCTTTCAGAAGGAAGAGAGAGTGCCTGCCAGCCGCTCCTCCTTTGTCGTTGAAAACCTAACTCCACTGACAACATACATCGTGTGCGTGACCTGCCAGTCCGCCAACCCCTCCAGTGACCAGTGCAGAGTTTTTAACACGCTGGAACAAGACCCGGCATCCGCCAGCAACACCAAGAAAGAGCTGGCGCTGGGCATCTGGCTCACCAGCAGCGTCCTGCTCCTCATCATCGCTGCAATCCTCCTCTACGGCTGCCTGCACCTCCTGTGCCGCAGGAGATGCGAGCGTTTGCAAGGGCAAAACGGGACCTCTGAACAAGACCACGGGAAGGCATGGACCAAAAGCACGGTGTACGCCTTGGAGGAGCTCAGCAGGCAGAGCCAAGTGATGCAGGATACTGAGGAAAAGCATCCAGGTGGCATTCAGCTGGCCACAATCATAGAGAATCCCTCAGCGTGCAAGGAGCCCGTCCTGCCGACTTCCAAAAGCCGGGAACGAGTGCCAGCGACAGGAGAGTGCTCTGCTATAAATTAGAAATCTTTTGTCAGGGAGGAGATTTTTACTACATACGACATGCCAACTGCTTCAAACACATCGTGTGCTTTGTCACCGTTCACAACAGGGAGCTCCGACTGCTCACCGCAGCGCTGCCGGCTGTACCTCCGGTGTCACATCCCTTTCCAACAGCCCGTACGCAGCCAGAGGTACTCGGAGACAAAGGTTCTTATTCCTAAGAAGTGAGCACTTCAGCCACGCTCCATTATTTAAAAATTAAGCATGTAGCAAATAATCGGTTTACATTTTCAGGGGATTCTTTTGGTTGCTTTTCTTTAAGTTTCAACAAAATGAATCAAAAGTGACCAAGAGACTTTTTTTTTTTTTAACTAGCATAAATTAAAACTGAGTAGAAGTTGTCAGATGGCAACCCAGACTGTTACACTACAGGCAACTGGAACGTACACCCCAAGTGCAGTGGTTTCCCAGTGCGAGTTTTACCCCCACAATCCCGACTGCTTCTCAGATTACCCACTACAAACTACTACACTCAGACCACGCACTTCGCCAGCCATTGCGGTCTCCATAGCTCCCATCTGAATGAGGTCAGTCTCAGCACGTAAGCTAAACTCACCAGGATTTTAATGGCATCCTTTCATCTGTCTTCAAAATTCCCCTCGGTCTAAAAACATATGCAAGATAGCGACTCTGTAAGGACACTTCTAATGAAACTAAGGGAATATCCTGGCTTATCATATTTTGCACTCTTCTGCTCCCACCACAAGCTACCTTCTGCTCCACAGGCGAGTGACTCCCTGTAGAGGAAACAGAGTTTGGAGAAGCAACTCCTGACCTTTCCTTCTCTCCTTCCCTTTCAGTTTTAATGATAAAACTCATTCACCAGCTGCAAATTTTTATCCAACCACACAGTACGTTTTGTGTAACGAAGGGGCAAGGAAGTAAAACCATGCCAAAACACATTTTATTTTTGTAACAAGCAAATCTACCGATCACCTCATTCTGCCTTGAGCTTCACAGCAAAATGCTGAGAAAGGCCCTTCGGACAGAAAGCTGTTCACCCTCACAACACGATGCATCTTGTCTGGCTTACATGTATAAGTCACCCTGTTTTAAATCTCTTAAGTGTGTTTGTGTTCCATAAAAGCATAATAAAACTTAGTATTGCTGTATAGTATGGTATGTCTAAAAAACAAAGATACACTGTGACTGCAGGCATTTTAAACTGCTGTTGATAAGAATGTATGCGTAAAGTCAGCTCTTGTTCACACAGCACAGTTGTACCAGTAAAGGCTGAAGAACTGCTGGCTGGGCAGCTGCCATCCCTTTCCACCATGCCCTGGAAGCCAAGGTGGTGTACAATTTTGGCAAGAGGGCGCCCGACGAATATTTCATAGCAGGCAGCAGGTCTTCTCAGCTACCGTATTTTGACAACATTTCCCACAACTTGTGAAAGATGTCAACTCTCATATGGCTAGGAAGACATGAGCTGGCATAAGTTTGATGCGTCGTCTTTACTTTTTTCTACCAGGATAGGTACGTCACACAGAAACATGTGCTGAATGGGGCTGAGTATTACTTTTAGAAAGTGCTTCAAAAGCATCTTTATTAAGTTAGCAAAAACATATTCTCCACCCCCTACATAGCATTTCCTCCAGCTAACACGTTTTTCTTTGTCTTACACACCAGTCTTAAAAGTAAACTGTGAAGATGAGAACAGTTTACTGCTGTTTCAAATGAAGGTGTTTCATGAAACAGACACTGAAAACTCTCTTCAGAGCATGAAGCCAACACTACAGGTTTACTGCCAAAAAGGTGCAGCTGAATAGTGGGGACAGGACAAAATGCTTTAATGATCATGTAATCAAATTAATGGTAACACTTCTCCAACTAGGATTTCATCAAAGAGAGAAAAGATGATTTTAATGTTAAAGGGATGGAGCCAAGAGACATATGTTGTCATCTCTGCCAACATCTTGGGCCCCTGAAAACCTGCTTACTTCTCTGCATCTCTGTTTCTTTATGTGGGTTTTAAGGCAGTCCAATACATTATTTACATGCATTTATATGTTATACACACATGTATACACCATACTGAGAACAAGGAGCAGTTCAGTCTTAAAGCAGTTTTGAGGCAATTCACCTACTGAATTGTTATTTATACACAAACGCATATATACAAAAAACCCCATGTATATATCAGTGTGAAAAGGCAAGGAGCTACCATGCAAGTGCTCCTAGGAATGGGATTTACCTGATCTAAATATAAAACCATTCCACCCAAGGACTTTACTATGCACTACTTAGATAAACATTTATATCACCTCAGAAGCAATGGACCATCTTGCACCCGCTGCAAATGAGCAATGCATAAGGAGTGTCATCCGACTTCTGCACTAGCTTGGAAGAACTCATGTCATTACACACTCAGAGCTACACAATTTTTTGTCTCTTGCTCAGAAAGTTTTATTACAGATTCATTCAGGTTCATTCCAGCAACTCTGTGTTTTGGTAGTTCACTGTCCAGTTTTAACCATGATCTAGTAAGGGGCAAACATTCTAAGTGATTATTAAACAGATAACAAGATGCAACATAGTGCAAACTGGTGTTAATTTGTGCACCAGCAGTAGATAAAAACCATTATATTCACATTGGGGAATACATTCCAAAGGGGTCTTTTTTCACAAGACAAATGACTTAGCATCTACAAAATGCAGAAGACGTACAAACATGAAAATCTTTGGAAAATGGTGTATAAGCCAGAAAGGAAGCTCTTAAATTCTGGTCTACACAACCTCTATAAAACCAGGTACTTCATTAACGTGCAAAGGTAGTTTCAAATCCCCAGAAGAGACTCTTTCTTATATGTACATTATTATTTTATGCATCCAGCCCATGTTGCCAAATTTCAATCTGCTAACATTCATTTCATTAATCTTCACACTTCACCTGAGTAAAGGGATTTCAAAGACCATGCTCAATGAGCATTTAAAATACTCCAGCTCACTTAAAAGGCTGATGAGCTTTTGCAGGTTGGCTCCTTCCCACCTGACAGCTCTGCTCCCATGTCAGCCAGGAGAAGTAAGTTGTAGCTGTGGGTTTCTGTTTTGCTAATTGTATGAAGACACCACTCAGAAAACTTCAGATGCAACAGAGAATGTGGACACAACTGTCTATGCTAAGCATCAATACACATTAATATAGATCAAATGCTTCAATCCATTTAGAAATATCTGAGAATATGTGAACACTTTGAGATCAAAACTAATTTTTTTTTAATTCTTTAATTTATTACTCTTAAGCAAGCACATTGCTCATGCAAAGCTTCTGCACAGAAAATGTTTAGCCATTACAGTCCAATACATGCATATATGAGTGTATATATGCACAAGGGACCACAATGCTCTTGTCTTGACCCAAATAAACATCATGGATTGCTAAAAAAACCCCAGAAAACCCCAAAACAACCAAAACCAATTAAGTCCAATAAGGAAAATAAAAAGTCATACTCCTTGGCTATATGATCAATACGAAGTGCTCACCTGAATATCTTGAGTAGTTCAAGAACTCAAAAAAGACAATAAAATAAAAAATACATAGCTACTCCATACCCCACTGTTATCCAGTCAGGAGGTAATTCAACAATAAAACCGTTAAAGGACCCAAACAAGGATGTTTTCTGTGACAAGCCTGGCTATATAACACACAGAATAATATCATACAATTATATGACAGGCTAGAATGTGTAGCCTCTATCATGTAAGAATTGCTGTCTGTTACTTGCTATATACAGTAGAAATGTCCTCCTAAAACTCCATTCACATATCCTCAATTCCAAAATATTCAAGAATAAAAATACATTTTTGTGAAAATTTAAAGCTACAGAGAGTCAGGAATATTTGCTAATATAGGCATATCTAGTTATGAAATTTGCTCCAGAAATGCATCCAAGAACCCCCTCAATTGCTCCTGCTCATATAGAAAAAATAATCAGATTTCTGAAAATGTATAGCTCTCAAAGTAAAGATTACTAAACTTATTTTAATAATGTAACCTGACTGATAAAAAAAGTATTCCCCAGTTAATCCTCTGTCACTGACTCCACTGTATCATCACTTAGATAAGTTAGCAATCTCTCCTAAATTCAACGGGGTTTTTGCTCTTTACGCTGCATCTGGTGAATTCCTAAAATAGTAAGGAACACAATAACTCTAATGTAGGAAAATCCCACTTTCCTATAATTTACTGTTCCCTGTTGGGGAACAATTCTATAAAACACTATTCGCAGTACCAGACAATCAGCTGTTACATTCCACATTAAAGACATGTGAATCCTTTTCCACCTCCTTTACATTTTAAAAGCATGAAAGTTTTACAAATGCAGCAGATGTATTAGGACTGAAATTTGTAACTTCTGAGCTCTCTCTTCAGCTCTCAGAAACTAGCTTCCTGGGCAAATCACTTGACAGAGATTGCACCGTGTACCTAGGATATGATGTGCAGAAAGTAACAGCAAGACAAGGACTAATTATGCTCATGTTTGAGTAGGAGCTAGGTAATGAAAGTAGCTAGACATGAAAATGGCACAGTGCACTTGCATGAATTACAAGGATAATTGAGTACATAATTTTAAAACTTTTTTTTTAGTCAACTATCCTCTAATTTAATCCTTATATGTTTATTGATCTTTTCCATACTTTCATTTGGCCTCCCTGATACTCAAGAAGACAACGCAAAATTAAGAGTGACATCTTGTTAAATATTCTCAAATGGTTTGCTGAAGATACCACTGCTGGTTTTTACTGCTGTTGGAAGTAGATCGGTGTTTCTGACTGGATATTAAAAATGCAGATATATGTTAACATAGTATGCCTTTAACTGTCATTAAAACTCAGGTAATAATTCTGAAGCATAAGAAAACAAATCTGCAGTGATCAGGGAGAATAAATCTATCCCTCCAACACACAATACTGCACACATGAGCATAGCATTGGTCCTGTGAATACAGGCTAACTTTCCTCACTTGGGTAGCTCCATGAAAGCCCACGACTATTCTCTTGTGCCAAGTACTCTCTCAACTTGTCACCCACGTAAGCTCCTTTCCAACCTCAGTACTGGGCATTGCCTTAAGGCACAGAGTACATGACTGCATATCGTGTACACTTCTACTGAAAACTTGCATAAATCTTCTAGGCACTCCTAATCTGCAAAGCAAGAAAGATGATGCTAATACAGGAGATGACATGGCCAGAAAGCCAAGTTCATCACAATGACTTTTGAGGTCCTTGGGCTGAAGATGCCAAAGAAATGCTACATTTTTTTTTGAAATAATTTAGCAGTTTGATATCTGATAGTTTAGGATGGTCAGAATCTATATTCCTTTTTAGTCTGATAAGATCTGAAGCAATTTTTTCTATCTGTTCCCTTTTCTCCTGCCATCACAGTCTTCGTCACTGTAACAAGGGAGCAGCTGCACCCAAGATGGGCTCTTGTTCTCACTTCACCAGATGACTAATTAATCTTTTCTTTGAGTCTGCTCTGCCACTATGAGCAACTGTGCAATGCAAGGTGGTTGAGAGAAGGACTTATTTTTAGCTATGTCAGATAAGACTAACCATCAGACTAATCACTTTCACTTTGGCTGAAACATATGGTGAGCTTCACAGCAAAGTCTGAAAATAAGCGTATGTTGAATTTCAAATACTCACAAAATGTATCCGAGTCCATTTTTAATAACTTTCATATTCCATAATTTCTATCATTAAAAAAGATACCTTTAAACATTAGCAAACCACAAATATAAAGGGAATTGAATCCAACCTTCGATCCATAGAGATACTGTGGCTGTGCATTAGGCTGCTTATCTCTCTGAAACTCCTGAGAAAACGGTAGCACGGTCCGAACAAATCTATAAAGACAAAATAAAGTATTCATTAATTATACTTAGGTTAGTAGATGTGCCCCTAATGCACCTTACCCTGTATAATACTGCTTTTGTCTACATATAATATCAAAGCCAGAATGGTAGCCTTTCAGCCCAAGTTGAAACTGGGGAAGCACATAGCCTGCATTGCCCAAAAGCCTGGACACTATTCATAATGCACTTATCCAACACTTACTGGGACCCTGTTCTTCAAGTGGTGTGCAGGGTCGCAAAATATTTCTCACCTCTACTCTAGCCTAGCCCAGCAAAAACAGAAGCAACTAACAAAGTAGCAATAGCCTCTCACAGAGAGTAAGGAAGTTCCTTGTGCTTCCAAAATTAAGTCCTTGAGAATGAACTACACCTTCAAAGAACATTACATTTCTATTTAATGTTTTGGAGCTTTCTCCCCACAAAGAAACTCACAGCAGGAAAAATACTTTAGGCTAATACCTTTAAAAAAACCAGTCAGGAGGAAGGATATAATCCTTGTAGCAAAATTAATGTTTCAAAAGTTTGATCCTACTTTAGTGTGAGCATGTACCAGTACAAATCATGTTTAGCTTCACCTTTGTATATTGTTAAGAGGATGACAAGAGAACTACAAAGATATGGAGTACTGCAAAAGATAGGATCAAACAGCCCACTCCAAATTGAGGGCCCCAGCGTCTGAAGAACAGTGCTTGGGCAGAACTCTGCAGGCACGAGTCCTCTCATGAACAAGCAGCACAGACCTACTCCCCCCATGTTGCCTGTTAACTGTGTAATGCATGTTTTGCAGCACTACAGTTTTAGCGCAGAAAGAAGTTAATCAACATCTACTACAGTTCTGATTCTGCTTAACTTTACTAAACCGAGCAAAATTACTGGTGTGTGGGTTTATGGTTTGGATGGCTACTTTATTTTTTAACTTGATAAAAAGGATTTCTTGGTAAATGGTGCAAAGCTGTATATACAGAGGGAAGAGGAAAAACAGCTGTTTAAGAAATGTACCTCAAATATTTGTATCAGATCAGGCTGTTCTGAGTGATAGCTGAGTAAAATAAATGCATCTAGAAAAAGGTTTCAGGAAAGGAAGTTTGCAGTACATTATAATGTCATAGGATACAATTGTATCTTGATCTGTTTTTGTTTAAAATATATTTGAATTTAATCAACACACAAAATAAATGATTCATTAATAATTTTTCCTGGAACACAGAAATTCTATTTTTAATACAGCCATTTTCTAGCTGAAAACAAAACCAGCCATGCTAATCAAAAATTGTTTCACCCAAACATGTATAAATTGCACCATGTTGCTTGCAATCATTTCCACTGTGTTTTATTTCTGAGTAATCGGATTCGTTCTTGTGAGAATCTGTAACTTCAGGACAAGGTTTTCTGTATTTTCTTAACCTGCTCATAAATAGGTATACCTGCAGTTGCAGCTACTTGTTCGTATGTATTTCAGTCCTGTCTTTCCAAAAGTACTTGTACTTGCTGAAGTCCAGAAAGTGCTTGCATTTAGAGCTTTTGAGGAAAAAAGTATCATTTATGTGCATTATTTTTGATACTATATAATTTAAATCTCCTTACATTTACATTTCCTCAGTTTACAAGTTTCCCCGCTTCTCTCTCACTCACATAGCAACAAAAACTTCCTCTTGAGATTACTTGAATCTGTTCTCTGCACAGATACTTCATTAAAGAGTTTATCAGAGATGTTGTAAACATTTGATGGAATTCAAAGTAATCTGCAACATATGACAGTCCCAGAGATTACTCTATTCCCCTTTCTTTCTCTCCAAATCCTATTCCTTTTTAAACTGACATCAATCTTCAAGCTCTAAGAAAATCTCTAAAATGAAAGAAATCAAGAGAGGTACCATGTCATTTGAGGTAAGACTGGGTTTCAGCATGCAGAGGTATTGGGCAAGAGCTGATTAAATTAAAACCCTCACAAGGAAAAGAATGTTTCAGAATATAAATATAGGTGCATCCCATGACTTAGGAAGCTGTAACTATTATTCTTTCTCTTTTCAAAAAGGTATTATGAATATATTTGAACTACAGTGTCATTAGTGTCTGGGAGCTAACCAGTCAGGCTGTATGTGGATTGAGAAGAAATCACAGCCTCAGAAATCAAATACCAGAGAAATACTTCTGAGACAGAGTCTCTAAGTTTCATTAGCTCTGTATAAACACAAGTAACTCTTCTGTGTTCCCCACTGCTCCTCTACATTCTTGGGGGTTTCTCCATCTCTAATGTTTTAGAATAGTAGCAAAATAACCTTGAAGATTTCTTACTGACTTGAAGCAAGCACACATTTTATACTTTCTTGAGGGACGTGGGGGAAAGATGCCAAGAGAGGAAGAAAAGAGGTTAAGAAAAGGAAGTAGGAGCAAGAGATATAGTCTCTTGGTATCTTACAGCAGGGCTATGGCTAAGTACTGAGGATACAACAGGGAAAAGAGAGTGCATCGTTCTAGGAGGTATGTGACTAATCCCAATATATCATTCAGATAAATATTAGAGATTTCTTCTCTCAAAACTAAGGATTATATAGAAACCTTTACAGTTCAGCATCGTCTGCTATTCTTCAAACTTTTTCAGTGTGTGCGTGTGTGTTTTCCTTTTGACATCCTGCTGGTTGGCTTCCTCCTGTTCCTCCTCCAAGAAACAGAAACATCTCTTTGAAGGACTGAAGCTCTTTGAATATCAGTGCTAAAGCTAGGCACATTTTTACTTTCCCTTGGATACCACTGGATGTAGATTTTAGCAGACTCCAAGATAATCAGTTCTTTTCATTTTTAACCAGTGTTGATGATCTCACAGCAATTTATCCATTTTAATCAACGTAGGTTGTAAGCAGTCAAAGTAGATTAAGCAGATGAAAAGCCTGCTGGCTTACCAAAGCTTTGCAACAGTGATTGCTAAAGGACAACATGAGACCCAAAATAAGTATTTTAGGGATCAAATCATTTTATATTGGTGTTTCTGTGATACCTACCAGGAACGAGTTCATAGTTGGCACTTTACAAACTATTATTCTAATTAGCATAATCTATCTCGGAAAATAAGGAGAAATCTGAAAGAGACCACTTTGGTCAATGAGCCTGCTGCCTTGCTACTGCAGGCACCAGATCAGACAGACAGACAGACAGACAATCTCATTCATAAACTTTCTGAACTTCATCTCAGAAGTAATAAGATATCACAATCCACCCTCCTTGCTCATACAGAAAGTGTTCCTCTGGTATGAACACTTTTAACTTCCAGCCTTCTCAAATTAGCTTGTTCTGTTTATCAGATCTAAGGGTAGCCCTACACTGCCTCTCTTAGTGAATGCTAGATCTAACTCACCCTTCTTGAACATGAATGTCAACATAGAGAGAACAGCGGGCTACAAACTGAAGTGTGAGGAAACAGCAGACAAAACAGAGCATGAAACAGTAGCAGGTATCCGCCACTCCATCGCTATCACCTTTGATTTTGGCAGAAAGAAGACTTTTTTTTTTTTTTTTTGGTGGGGGAAGATAAGGTGCGTGTTGTCAAATTTGATGGAGTATTTGACTACAGTCACCCCTACGTCGCATGAGCCTATATAACTACACCATTTGGCTCTTTGTAGCAGAAACCAGGTAGTTTTCAGTGCCAGTACTGCTTTTCAGGTTTGCTCCAGCAGTGTCTGAAAGGGCTGAAAATTTTTCTGAACAGTGTCTATCACAGAGTATATATAAGACAAGAAGACGCAGCTGTTCTCTTGTGAAAACTAGTCTCAAAAGCAGTACGAGAGAGACAGAGAGCTCGCAAAAGGAAGGGGGAGGCAGGCAGGAAGAGTGAAAAATAAAAAGCTGGTCTTTTTGTTCATTCTGTGACAAATCTGTATCCTCAGAAGAAACATGCCATACTGCATTTGGAAGAGTGCTATACACATGAATTTGTAGCAGAGAATACAGATTTGGATAATGTGTTCAGAGGAGATGGAGCTGCAAGTCTGACTACTGTCTCAGGAAGCTTGTATCATTTGTGTCAAGAAAGCACAGAAAATCTTCAATCCAAATAAATGTCTAGACTGTCTCACAGTTGCTCCTCCATTAGCCCGGAACACAAAACATGCTATCATGGAAGGAAAAGACCAGCTTAGAATTAGTAAAGAAAATAAGGCACAAAAAGGAGCACTACAGATAGTGGAAAAGGAACAACGAACAAAAATCTGGAAGTTGTCCTTGTGTCACTTGAATCCTCTGGCCAGCCATAGTCCTCCTAACTCCACAAAGATATAGGGGAATGACAAAAGTACAGACGCAGGCATAAGCACAACAAAGATTCCTGGTGTGGAAAGACCTTTGGCTTGGAAAAACATGCAATGGAGGGCCAACATGAGAGGGCTCTTAAAAAAAACAATCCCAAGTGGCACAGAAAAGACAAGTGGGAAATGGCTGTTCGTGGTCACTCTCAGTGTAATAACTAGCAGGCAACAGCTTGAGAGCAAACTAAAAGAGATACTTTCTCATGCAGCACACAGCTTCACTGCAGACTCCTCACTACAGCAT